AAAAAAAAAAAAAAAAAAAGAATCAAATACTGTGTATGACCTCCGAGCCAATTTCCAAAAGAGAGTTCCCGCGCTGCCCTGGGCGGTCCCGGTAGGGGAAGCCTGGAAGCCAGCGCTCCCTTGCACAAGCCCTAGCAGCCTTTCTCAGGACTCCCAGTCCGCCCTGCGTACACACAGCTCTCCTTGGCATGGCCCTTGCTGGATCAGAACTCAGTAATGTGTGGCCCTGAATGAGCCCCGCTCCCTGCAATCCTCTTAGTAGCCAATAGGGAGAGTTGATGGGATTAGGCTTGATCACTGTGTCTGGAAAACAAGGCTCCTGGGAGCATAAACTCACTCCTGCAGACTGGAATTGCCCCCTGAGCCACTGTTCTAACTGATAAGGAGACCCTCCCCTTCCCCAAGAAGCACCCCCATATCCATAATGCTCAGCGTTCTCTTCCTAAAGGACCTGAGTCTGCACCTTGCTCTCCAGGCACGGTGTGATGGGCCAGGTGTGATGAGCCCCACAGTCCTGCACAACCCTCCCCTCCGGGCCGCTCTGGCCCACGGGAGCTCACATAGAAATGGTTACCTTTCATCACCCTACTGCCCAGTTTTATTGGGCCCCTCGCGTGATTTCTTTGGGGAGGGCCACTCTGGCCTGAGCTCTGTCCAGCATTTTCCCTCCTGGAGCTAACAGCCCAGCATCACCTCCAGTAGGGGTGACAAACGCCGAGGCCAGTGGCGGTTTCAGACGGAGACTCACGCCCGCACAGTGTGGACCCGGCAGAGGAGCCGGAACTTGAACCACCCAGTGCCTTTCCTAGGTTCTGCCCTTTCTTGCTCTTAGGCGCCCTCTTGTGGTGAGAACCCGGGATGGCTGGGCATTCGCCGCTTTTACCATCTCAGGGTGGGTCTCCCCGCTGAGCGCCCGCACTCCGCAGGGCGGGGGATGGGTAGAGGAAAAACGAGGACACTCTCCTGCCATCCTCTTCACAAGGCAAGAGGGGCCCAAGCCAGAGCGTCTTGCCACCCCAGTGGCCCCCATCCTGGTCACGCTTCATCGGGAAATGGGCCACGCTGCCTTCTCCCCAGACCCGCCAGGTCACGGGTGTGTGCTCAGCAGAGGACAGGATGGAAGGAACCTATGTGGTCCCTAGGTGGTAATCACCTCCACAGTACATGCGTGAACAGGTCTCCAACTGTATTATCTTTTAATTACAAAATAATGCCTACTCCTTGTAACTAATGAAACAAAGAAACAATTAACGCATAAAGTTAGTTGCTTGTCCCTATCTCCTCCCCCCCCCATAACAATGGAAAGATCCTGCTGGGAGGATCGCGAGTTCGAGGCCATGCTGGACAACACAGTGACACTGTCTCAAAATAAAAACAAAAAGGGTTCGGGATGTGCCTCAGTGGTAAAGTGCCTCTGGGTTTGAGTCTCAGTAACACGTTCCTGCCCCAAGATCCTGACGTATCGGCTCAAACACAGGCAAATACACACATGCTCAAGGCTTACATTAGCGTTAGTCTCTGAGTGTTAAGAATTCCCTGCAGGTCTGTAGACACACATTTTGCTTGTTGATAGCAGGCTAAAGTGTACACCGTGATTTAAAACATTTGGCATACTTCCAGGTTTTGCTATTACTAATAGTACAGTGATGTACAGTCTATGCCTTTTATACTACTGCTTTTATTACTGTAGGATAGATGCCTCGAGAAATAGAAGGACTAGTTCAGAGTGTTTTTATGTTTTTCATAAACATAAAGTATTTGGTCCTGGGGTCAGGGCCTCATGGGCGCTACTCATGAACTCTCCACTGAGTCACACCCTCAGCATTATTTTTATTTTTGAATAGGAGGATTTGGGGCAAGATGACTTGCTCAGAGGGCTGCAGGAGTTCACTTTTCCACGTACAGGCTATGACAGAACCCACTTCTCTACATCTGCGTCCGCCCTATCTGTGTTCTCTCCCGGGGTTTTGTCTGTCTAGGGGGTGAAGCCTAGTTCTGTCTTACTTTTCCTTTGCATTTTCCTGAAGACCAGGGGAGTTGTTGTGGGTCTGTGTACCATCTAGGTTTTACTTCCTGCTCTGTGAAATCTTCCTATGCACAGAGCTGAGTACAGAGAGTTCCAGAAACTCTTTTTTTATTAGCCACAGACCATCCTCTGCCTCTTTATTTTGTTTATTTTTGTTTTGTATCTTTATCATACAGAAATTTTAAAAATTTACATAATCAGGTACTTTCGTTGTTACTGTCATTTATGGCTTCTGAACTTCTTATCTTCCTTAACGACATCTCTCATCTGTCTTTTAGAAAGGGAAGAAGAAATATTCTAGTGTTTCTATAAATTATTTGGCTTTGTATTTAAGTTGTTTATATGCCAATATATTTGTGTTTTTGATGTGGTTGTCTTCTAAATAAACTTCCAAGCCTGACATGGTGGCCCATGCCTGTAATCCCAGCACTCAGGCTGAGGCAAGAGGATCTTTTCAAGTTCGAGACCAGCCTTGGCTACAAAGTGAGCTCAAGGCCAGTCTGAACTGTATAGGAGACCCTGTCTCAAAATGACAAAATAAATAAATACATGTCTATCCACCAGCCAGGCATGGTTGGTGCACATTTGTAATTCCAGCACTCCAGAGGCTGAGGCAGGAGGATCACTATGAGTTTGAGGCCAGCTTGGGCTACATAGCGAGACCCTGTCTCAAAAAAAAAAAACAAACATAAATGCCCAGTGACATTAGCATTAATGTTCAAAATATTTTCCTTCCGTGAACGAGTAGATCACATTTGCTCTATAATAGTTGTGTAAAATCTGGAAACTTCCTGGACTCTCTAGTTTGTCCCACTGATCCATTTATCTGTGTCACATTTGATTTACTGCTTGACATGAGTAGCTTTATAGAAAAATTTTTAAATTGCAAATTTGAGTATCCATTAAGGCAGATCCTCCATCTCTGATCTTTTCCTTGACTGCTTTTGGTTAGTCTCAGACATTTATATGAAATACAAGATCATTTTAACTAAATTCCAAAAGAAACAATAACCCATAGAGGATGGATTAATTGATCCATTTTTAAAAGGATTCATAACTTTGTAATAGTAAATCATTCTACCTTAGGTGGAAATATTGTTCTCCATTTGTTCTGGGCTTGTTTTATGTTTTTCAATAAGTTTATTCTTTTTCTTGTACCTTTCTTATTACATGTATTACCCATTATGTTATGGATGTTGGCTCTGCTGTGGATGGGATTTTTTTCCTGTTGCCTCATCTAACCACTTATCATTGGTGTGGAAAAATACTGATTTTTATATATTTATCATGTACATAAACAAGTTCTTTTATTTATCCTGTGGTTTTGTGTGTGAGTGTGTATGTGTTTTAACCAGAGCCTCTTAGATTTTTCTAGATTTCCAATATTGTCTGCAATAAGGGGAGTTACATCTTTTTTATACTGGCATACTCTCATTTTGAAACAATTTTGGTTTTATGCAAAAATAAAAGTAGTTCAAGGACCACCCATATACCCAATTGTTAATATTTTATTTCATTTCATCTATCATTTGCTCAGTGGGTGTGGGTATGTGTATGTATGTATTTTTTTTTCCTGACTCTTTTAAGGGTAAATTATGCCTAAATATTCCATGGCCTGTCTCCAAAAATACACTATTCTCTTCCATATTTTCTGCTCTTAGTAGAGATAAACTTCAGAAATTTACATTAATGCTATACTTTAATGTACCATCCATATTCAAGTTGATCAGCTGGTTCATAAATTCTTCTATAACATTTTTTCCTCTGCACTATGGGGTCCAGCCTGGAGTTGTGTATTGTGTTTAATCATTATGTCTGGTTAGCTTCCTATAGTCTGGAACATTTCAACAGTGTTGCACTGACATTTTTAAAGAATATAGTCCCCTCCCACTACTCTTCTTTTTTAAAAAAAATAGAACATTCTTCATCTGTGTTTATGGTTAATTTTAATTTTGTTTTACTGTATACTAAGTATACAGTACTATATACTAAGTATACAGTACTGTATACTACTGTATACTAAGTATATAGTACTGTATACTGATTTTAAATTTTGTTTTACTGTATTACTAAGACTACTAGAACAATACTGACAGTAGGACACAATACTAACATAGGTATCTCTATTAGTGATTTTTATTTGAAATGAAAATGGATTTAGCATTTCAACATTTACAAGTGTATTCATGTTGGTTTTGATAGTGTTAAAGTAGTTGCCTTTCATTTCTGTTTTACACAGAATTGTATTAGAAACAGTAGCTTCTAAATTTTATCAAGTCTTCAGCATCTCTTTACATAATCCTAGGGGGTTTTTCTTTTAATTTTTGCTGGCAAAATTCTCTATTATTATGCATTGTATTGTCATATGTTGACAGATTCTCTGATGCTGATTCATTCCTCTCGTCTTGCATTCTTGGAATAAACCCTTGCTTATTTATTTCATACACTGCTTGATTAGACTAATGGTTTACTTGGAGTTTCTGCACTCAAAAATTAGTCTATAGCTTTCTTTTGATTACTATATTGTTTGTTTGTTTGTTTGTTTGTTTTTGTTTTTCTCCGGTACCAGGAACCGAACTCACGACCTTGCGCTTGCCAGGCAGGCGCTTTTGCCGCTGAGCTAAATCCCCAGCCCCTGATTACTATATTGGATGTGGGGGTTGAGGAGCATTCCATTTGATAGCTTTGTTTCCTTCCGATCTTCATTCATTTAATTTTTCTGTTATTATTCCTTCAGTTCTGTTCTTATTCCTGCTTGGCTGCTCCAGTACAGTGCTGAATGGAATGACAGCAGGCCTTCTTGTTTTGCTCATAATTTTAAAGTCCATTCTTTTTGCCGTGAAAATACTTTATGCATTGGAAATGATATTTTCAGTACGTTTTTAAATGATACAAATTTGGGGATTCCCTCTTATTCTTGTTTTTAAAGAGTGATTTTATTCTTTGCTCTTTGATTGTTACCATGGACAATTTTTAAACTTCTTTCAAAAACCTGAGATGATTTGAATTTTTAATCCATTAATAAGATGAATGACATAAATAGACCTTGTGGTTTTTTTTTTTGTTTTTTGTTTTTTGTTTTTTTGTCTTTTTGAGACAGGGTCTCACTATGTAGTTCATGCTGGTCTTGAGCTCACTTTGTAGCCCAGCTGGTCTCAAACTAGCAGCAATCCTCCTGCCTTAGCCTCCTGAGTGCTGGGATTAGGTGTGCACCACCATCACCGGCCCCCACACCGTCACCACCATGCCCAGCTATAAATAGACTTTCTAATAGTGGAGTAACCTTGCATTTCTCAAAGAGTCCCGAATTTTTTACTTTCTATATGTATGTGGGCGTTTATCTTCACTTTTGTCTTTTAGTTTTCTCTTTTACTATTTTGGTTTGTAACTTGGCCTTTTTTATACATGGTTGGATTTTGTTTGCTAATATTTAGTTGAGGATTTTGCATACATGCTCATGAGTGGGACTGCCTACAATTTTCCACCTGTAAATTCCTGGCTCCTAACCATCCAGGCTCCTTAACCATCCAGGCATACTTCCTTCCAAAGGGAGCCCAAAGGCTCACTTCCCCTCTCCTCAAGGCATTTCCACAAGGCTCTGGGCACAGAAGGGCAGACGGCAACTTGAGACTGCAGCAGAGGAGAATGAGGGCGGGGACACAGCGTTGCGTCTGTCTCACTGTGACTCTGGGCCGCTCTCCCCAGTTCGCCCAGTATGCTGAGATTGTCAACTTCACGCTGCCTGACGGGACTCAGAGGAGTGGCCAAGTGCTTGAGGTGGCTGGGACCAAGGCTATTGTTCAGGTGAGTGGCAGCAATGAGATGTTGGCTGGGTGGGTAAGTTAACAAGCCCGTGAAGTTCCCCACACTCTCTTACTAACTCTGAAGATGGTAAATTACCTATTTCTTTATGAACACTCTGCCCAGAGCTGGGCACAAATGGGAAGCCCCGTTCTCCCCAGCCAACCCCTCATCAGAGTGACTTCCTCTTGTCCCACAGGTGTTTGAAGGAACCTCTGGGATTGATGCCCAGAAGACCACCTGTGAGTTCACAGGGGACATTCTACGGACCCCTGTGTCCGAGGACATGTTGGGTAAGGCGCGAGCGGTGGTGGTGGGAGGTGCTCCTCTGCCTTCCTGCCCCGGCTTCTCTGACCATGCTCTCGCTCCCTGCCTTGTCCTGGACCGTTTGTGTGTGCCTTCTCTGTGAGCTCTTTGGGGATGGAGGTTGTATCTTGTCTCCTTAGTTCCCAGTCCAGCTCAGGGCCTGATAGATAGCGTGTTCAGTAATGGGAAAGCAGCTTCAATAAGCTATAAGTACAGCAGGCACTTGACCAATTGGGGGTCAGGCTGAAAGGGACTGTAAAGCCCTATTTGTCCCCAAATGTCTCAGGACCTGCCATTCCAGGCCTGGCCACCCCCCCATCTTTGTCAAGTCCTGCAATGTCCCTGATGTCCCCGTTGGAATCGCTGTCCCAAGTAAAGGTGTTGAGGAGACTAAAGAGCTCTCTGGAGTACCTGAGGGCTGGGCGGGGCGGGGATACGGGGCAGTGCAGGTGTTGAGAGATGAGAGCTGGTGACGGTGTGGGGGCCGGGAGCAGTGAGGGACTCGGGGGCAGCCCTGAACGTCCACATACATCCCCTGCCACTCGTAGGTCGGATTTTCAATGGCTCTGGCAAACCCATTGACAAAGGGCCCATGGTCATGGCGGAGGACTTTCTGGACATCAATGGTGAGTGACTGGAGCCCCTGGTTGGCTTTCAGAACCCAGCCTCCAATTTCTTCCCATCCCCAGTCATCCTTTCTGCCACCCTGTCCTTGGAAATCGTGCCCAGACACAGACCACTGGCCAGTGCCCACCCAGGACCAGTCAGAAAAAGGGACAGATCAGGTGGATGTGAGGGCAAGAAAGGCCTCCCTGTCCCCAAATCTTCCACTGAACCAGGAACTGCCCTCGGCACTCTATGTCCACCCTTTGTAAATGGTACACAGTACTCTGTGCATGCCCCAGGGCCCCATCCCCATCCTAAGAGCTGTCCTAAGGCGGTTTGCAGCAGCGGGCTCAGGCCTGCCTAGGAGCTCATCCACCCAAGTGGGGGCTTCCTCTCTTCTCCACCGCCGACCCGTCAGTTTGTCTCCACCTCCAGATTGTCTGTCCGTCTGCCGGTAGGTGTTAAGCCTGGCTGCCTTCACCCAGGGGTGGTCAGCCACCGCCACCTAACAAAGCACCAGGGCAGTGCTGTCCAAGGTAGCATGGACCCGCTGTTGAAACTTACACCAACTCAAATAAGAGACACATTTTATCTGCACAAAGGCTGCATATGGCTGAGACTACACCGGGCGATATGTTCTTTATCACCCCAGGAAGTGGAAACAGTGCTGCCTGGGAGTGTGGGCGGGGCTGGGAAAGACAGGCAAGGGGGAACCTCTGAGCATGGCTCCATGACTGCCCTTCCCAGGCCAACCCATCAACCCCCATGACCGAATCTACCCTGAGGAGATGATTCAGACAGGCATTTCTCCCATTGATGTCATGAACAGCATTGCCCGTGGTCAGAAGATCCCCATCTTCTCGGCGGCGGGGCTCCCCCACAATGAGGTGAGGCCTGTGGGGCCAGCAAGCACAGCCAAAGGGTTGGGAAGCAGAGGTCCAGGCTCCTGTGCCCAGCAGGGAGTGGGGTCACCTGTGCCCAGGCTGGCACTCAGGACTGCACAAGCCGTCTTCCGTGTCCAGGCTCTGCCCCCAGCGGGCCTCCCAGCTACCTTGAATCAATACACACAGGCTCTCGGGTGGCCCCCAGTGTTGAAGGCCCTGCTAGCAGAGCTGGCCTGTCCTTGTACTCATGTCCCCGGGTACGCATCTACTCCACCACCATCACCAAGTTCAGTCTGCGCCTCTCACCCTGGCTGGGGTGACCAGGTTTCCCTCCCTGCTGCTCCTGAATGTAGCTCACCTCAAAATGCTCTGAGTGATTGGAATCTTGTGCGCGCGTGTGCGCGCGCGCGCACACACACACACACACACACACACACACACACATCCTGGCTTGGGGCAGGGTGTCTGGTAGCTCTACACATTGCAGGCTAGGGGCAGCTCTGTGTCCATGAATCCCCAGCAGACTACAAGAGAGACAGAGGCTCTGACAGGCCCGACTGCCCTAAACCAAGCTGCCATTTGGAACTGCTTGTTACTCTACCCTTCTCACGACAGGTGCCCTCCGCCCTTCTGCAGCCACAGAACAGCCCCTCCCCGCAAAAGATCGTAGCACCTGGGGCAGCCCCTGCCCCTCTTCAGCCTGGGCCAGCCCCTACCAAAGGCCTGGGTAGGCGGACAGATGGGAAATCCTCTGTCCCTCTCCTCAGGGGGGCGGGTGCTGGGCTCTGCTCGAACAGCCTCCCTCCCAACGCATTCTGCCTCAGATTGCGGCCCAGATCTGCCGCCAGGCTGGGCTGGTGAAGAAATCCAAAGCCGTGCTGGATTATCACGATGACAACTTCGCCATCATCTTTGCAGCCATGGGGGTAAGGGAGCCTCCTGAGCCCGTTAGCAAGTTCTAGCATATGTGAGCAGGCACACAGAGCCTGTTTCTCTTGGGCCCTGGCACAGCCGCATCTGGTGGGTGAGTCACCGTCCTTCTTCCTGAGAAGCCATCCGAGTCCAGGCCAGTCTGGTGGGACAGCCTGGAGTGCAACTGAGGCAGGCTCCGTGCCCAGCGAGGTTTTGCATCCCAAAGGCCAGAGAGGCTGTAAGTTAGGTTGAAGGTGGCCTGGAGGAGGACAGGGAACTTAGGGAGACAAGACAGCGTCATGGGATACCAAAAACCCTCAGCGGACCCAAAGGAAGGATAGGGAGGGCCAGCAGGGGGCCCAGGGAGGTCCCCATCCTAGTGGTCAGTGCAGGGTCAGTGCAGTCCTAGTGAGGGCCAGCAGGGGGCCCAGGGAGGTCCCCATCCTAGTGGTCAGTGCAGGGTCAGTGCAGTCCTAGTGGTCAGTGCAGTGGTCAGTGCAGTCCTAGTGGTCAGTGCAGTGGTCAGTGCAGTGGTCAGTGCAGGGTCGGCACTGACCAGAGCCTGACCTAAACAAGTCCGAACTTCTCTGGAGGCTCTGATGAGCCCCTCGCAAGTCCCAGGGTCACCCCAGTGACTGCAGTGTCTTTGTCACCAGCAACTGTTAGCCAGTCAATCCACAGGTTTTCCTGAAGACAGCTGGGAGGGTCCAGGCCCTGCCCTCAGGCCGCGGCCCCCCACTCCAGCCCTCCCTTTCCTGTGTCCAGGTGAACATGGAGACAGCCAGGTTCTTCAAGTCCGACTTCGAGCAAAACGGGACTATGGGGAATGTCTGCCTCTTCCTGAACTTGGCCAATGACCCCACGTGAGCCCTCCCTGATGCCCAGACTGCCAGGAGGGGGGCCGCCCCACCCCCTACAAAACCAGGGTACCGGTGCTCAGAGTGCCCCAGAATCACAGCCATGGGCTAGAGCTAGAGAACAACTGGGAACCCGAGCCCTGAGAAGGCTGGGAATGGCCCATGGGAGACAGGGGGAGCCAGACCAGGGTGCCGCCTGTGATCTGCAGCCCCTCTGCCCTTCCCACCACCTTCACCGGTCACTGTCCTAAGTCACAGCCCCTCATCCCAGGGTCACCTCCACAATATCACCACTAAAGAGATCACCTCTGTAAGCCATTTATTTAGAAAAACTGCTATTCTGAAAGTTTAGAAAACTTAAACTGGGAATTTAAATCTGGGGAGTTGGGTGGACAAAAGACAAAGTTCTAATAAACTATCCTGGGTATTGAGGGTGCCCCAAAAACTAAGGAACGGAATTGTGGCGGCAGTGAGGGCATCAGCAGGGGGAAACCCACAGGCCCAGAGGTGGGGACGGAGACCTGGAGCTGAAGCAGGGTGTTCGGAAGGGCTCGATGTGGGAAGGGCGGGCAAGCTTGTGGACGGTGCGCTCTGTGTGCTCAGCGGCAGCGGGAGGGTGAGCAAAGGCGCGGTCCCGAGGACAGAGTGCGCGTGCTCCCGCTGGCTCCCGCGTCAGGGGCCCTGGACTAAGAGGGAGCGAAAGTGGCGCTTGTGCGTTCACCTGGCTCCAGTGTGATAGGGATAGGCCGGAGTCCTTCACCTTCAGCCCAAGGGGACAAGGTCATCCTCATCAAACACTCCTGGGCCTGCCCCAGCCAGATTCCCTTCTGGTCTTACCCTCCGGCTCCTGCCCCGCTCCTCAACCGCAAGAGAGAAGGCTGTGGGGAACCAGGCCCTGCCCTGGGGAATGGGGTGGGGCCTCATCTCTTCCATTCCCCCGCCATGAGCACAAACCAGCTGCCCAGGTCCCCTTGCACTCGGCTCTGGGGCTATGAGGGGCGCAGGCCTGGGTGTCCAGGCTCTGTGAAGGCCAGCTGCGCCTCTCTTCCAGGATCGAACGGATCATCACCCCACGCCTGGCACTGACCACTGCCGAGTTCCTCGCCTACCAGTGTGAGAAGCACGTGCTGGTCATACTGACGGACATGAGCTCCTACGCAGAGGCCTTGCGGGAGGTGAGCTGGCTGGCAAGGCGTGCCAAGTTCTTCCCTGCCTCTCCCAAGGCTTGAGTTTCCAGGGGTCTCCTTGAGAACAGAGGGAAGCTCGTCTGCTCAGTCACAACCCGGCCATTGCTCTTCTGTCTCCAGCCTCACTCCTCACCCTTCTGACTACCAGCCTCTCAGCCCCTCCCTTACCTCCGTGCCCATGGGTATTGCAGGTCTCAGCTGCCAGAGAGGAAGTGCCTGGGCGCCGAGGCTTCCCGGGATACATGTACACAGACCTGGCCACCATCTACGAGCGGGCGGGCCGCGTGGAGGGCCGGGGCGGATCCATCACACAGATCCCCATCCTCACCATGCCCAATGATGGTAGCCTTCCCCACAGCCCCTGGCCCTGAGACTCCCCCTATCTCCCTTTCCTGCCCAGAAAATGAGAGAGCCTGTGCTGCTTCGCAAAGATGTGCAGTCGCTCTGGTCCTCCATCAGGGTAGACACTGTCCTTTCCTTCCCCTGCCTCCCCCATCACTCTCTCGGGAGACTAGGACCAGGCAGCCTGGAGTGGGCAGAGACCTGGTCCCCATCCATACTGAGACCAGGGCATTCTCCCACAGATATCACCCACCCCATCCCTGACCTGACGGGTTTCATCACTGAAGGACAGATCTACGTGGACAGACAGCTACACAACAGACAGGTTTGACTCCCTGTCTCTGCCCTCCGTTCTCACCCTCAAAGACACAGAATAACGGGGGTCTCCCACCTCCTGCACCTGGATGAGGCGCAGCCAGCCGAGGCACGCACCTGGGAAGGCTTTGTGGTTCAGAGTATGGGTCGAACCCAACCCACCTGCCTGTGGGAATTTGAGAAAATAATCCCATTTCTGAGCCCAGGCAGGATTCTTCTTCTATGAGGCAGAAATAATACACCAGTGCATTGTGTGAGGTAAAATAAGTTGTCATATAGGAAGCATCTGGAAGAGGATAGATACTAAACAAATACTAATTCTCTTTGCTTTCCGATTATTTGCTTTGGTGAACAGAAAAGAAGGGGTAACTCACACACACAGACTGTGAATACTGCGCCAAAGTGCCAGAAAATGTGTCCTGTCCAGAGGTTAATGCTGCGCCCATGACATGTTCTTTTTAGGTTGTTTCTTTGCAGCGCCTGTTAAATTGAAACCTAATTTTTTTGTCCAAATAGTCAAGCGTTTTGAAGGCGTAGACCTTTTCTTAACCACGTCGTGTCATCTCCCCATGCCCAGTATCCTGTCTAAGGCCACACGTGTAGACACCTGCCCCAGAATTGATGGCAGATGGGAGGGGTGGCAGCTGCCTTCCCTGTAGGATGAGTGGGGACGGTTCTCCTGAGGACCACCGGGGAGGAGAGACAGGCAGCGCGGGCAGGAAATAAAACTTGGACTCTGTCTGCCACTCCCTCGTCCTCCCCTAGATTTACCCCCCTATCAACGTGCTCCCTTCCCTGTCGCGACTGATGAAATCTGCCATTGGGGAGGGCATGACCAGAAAGGACCACGGGGACGTCTCCAACCAGCTGGTAAGGAAGAAAGGGCCAGGGCCTGGGGAGGTTATTCAGTTTTAGAAGCTGGAGGTTTGAGCTCCAATGTGGATGGCAAGCCTTTCTCCTGGCATAACTCCTTGCCATAAAGGAGTGCCCGGCCCGGGCCGCTGGGGGTGGGAGGGTCCGTGGCGAGGACGCTGCCTCGTGTGCCCCTCGCAGTACGCCTGCTACGCCATCGGGAAGGACGTGCAGGCCATGAAGGCGGTGGTCGGGGAGGAGGCGCTCACCTCCGAGGACCTGCTCTACCTGGAATTCCTGCAGAAGTTCGAGAAGAACTTCATCAACCAGGGTGAGGCGCGTGGCGGGCGGGCGCGAAGGGGGCGGCACCTCTGCCCGTCTTCCCGCCCCACACCCGGAGCCTAACACTCCCGCCCGGTCGCAGGCCCCTACGAGAACCGCTCGGTGTTCGAGTCTCTGGACCTGGGCTGGAAGCTGCTGCGAATCTTCCCCAAGGAGATGCTGAAGCGCATCCCGCAGAGCGTGCTCGATGAGTTCTACTCCCGCGAGGGGGCGCCGCAGGACTCCGCGTCCGACACGGCGCTCTAGGCCCGCGCGCCCCGCCCCGCGCCCGTGCCCCAGCGCCCACCGCCGCGCACCCTCCCCGCCCACCACTCCCGTCGGCTTCCGCCGGAGCTCGGGGCTCGGCGCCCGCCTCCTGCCCCTGCGGGCTTTGGGGGTCCGCGAGCTCCATCGCTCTTCCTCCCCTCGCAGCACTGGGAAAGGACAGGGGGCTGTTAAACTCGCGACCTATGGCTTAGTCGGACAGGAGCATCCGTATTTTTATGTTAAATGGCATTTTGTATGTTTATGTGGTACCGGAGATCCTGCAAGCTCTCTACCGCTGGGGTGCACCCCCAGCTGTGTATTTTTATGTAAAAAAAAAACTGAGATGAATTTATCTCAGGTGAAAGAAAGAAAGGTAATTGTTGAAGGTGTAGGTGATAAATACATGAAGTTCATTAAACTATTTTTTCCCTAAAATCATATCAAGTGGCTGAGGCAAGAGGATCAAAAGTTGAAGCCAGCCTGGTCAACTTAGCAAGACCCTGTCTCAAAATTTAAAAAAAAAAAAAAAAAAAGTGAAGAGTGCTGGAGACACAACTCAACCCTTCCTGGGGTTCAAGCCCCGGTACCACAGAGGAAAACAAGCGAACAAAAATTGCTTTAATGCCGAAAGAAGTGACAATAGAATTCCTCGGAGGATGATATGTATCTTTTTAAAGAAATATCTTGCTAAATTTCTTGAGTAGAACTTGAGCTCAGGGGCCATAGAAGAGAAAATCATAGCCACACACGACTTTTTTTTACTTTAAACGTCTCTGCCTGAGAGAGACTGGGGGTTATTTGGTGTACCGCAGACAGGGAGGGAGGGTAGTTGCCAGGGATATAACCCGAGGGACATGAGAGACAGGGGTGCAGGAAAGATCCCAAAGGAAAAAATGGGTGAAGAGCATTCTGAAACTCAGGATGCCTGGAACTCCTTTGAAAGCTGCCTGCTCTTCTGTGATGTCATCTCCTCTTCTGTTCCTCTGCCCCTACAAAGAAGTCATCAAAGCAGTCATCCGCAAAGAATTCATGAATGCTTCTTAAAACGGAAAGGGTTGGTGGGGAAGATAGAACTTTAGCCAAGAAATGATCTTCCTTTCTGAGTCATTGTGGCCTAGAACCCTGTCAGAATTCTTGAATGAAGAACTAACAGTAAAAGAGGCCCAAAGGTACACGTCCCACTCCCAGGACAATTCATAGCCGTTTTGGGGAAAGCTTAGGCTGTGCACAGGGCATAGAGTTGCTTTTGTTTGATAACAGCTTTAGTGAGATATGATTCACATACTATACAACTTACCTATTTCTAACTATATGATTTAATAGTTTTTAGTACATTCACAGAGTTGAATGACCATGACCCCAATCAATTTTAGAACATTTTTATTGCCCCGCCAAAGAAATCCTTTACCCTCAGCCAACCCATTCCTTCCCCAGCCCTAAGCAACTATGAATCTACTTTGTATCTCTATGTATTTGCCTATTCTGGACATTTCATATAAATGGAATCATACAATATGTGGCCTTTTGTGACTGACTTCTTTCACTTTGCAAACATTTTGAAGGTTCATTCATGTTGGAGCATATGTCAGCACCTCATTTCTTTTAATTGCCAAGTGATATTCCACAGGGTAAATGTACCACCTTTTGTTTATCCATCAGTTAAGGAACACATGCATTGTTTCCATTTTTTACTAGCCTGGATAATGCTGCTGTGGATATTCATGTACACATTTTTTTTTAAGAGGGAAAGGTTTATTTAGCTCACAGTTTGTATAGGTTTCAGTCCATAATCAGCTGTCTCCAAGGCAGGGTGGCATGGCACAGGGTCTAGAGTTCAAGGCAGCTGAAGACAGCAAAGGCAGCAAGAGCAAAAGGGGGATGTAGCGCTCACACCATCTCTGTCATGCACATGTTTTTATGTGGACCTCTATGTTCATTTCCCCTGGGTATCACCTAGGAGTAGAAATGCTGAATCAGATGGTAGCCTAGTTTATCTTCTGAAGCAACTGCCAGGCTGTTTGCCAAAATGGCCGCATCATTTTAATTCTTATCAGCAATGTGTAAGGAGGGTTTCTGCTTCTCCATATCAACATATCCATATCCGTATTAGTGGGTATGAAGTGGTGTATCATTGCACTTTTGATTTTCATTTCCCTATCAAGTAATGATGCTGACCGCCTTTCCCTGTGCTTATTGGTCATTTATAACTACTCTAGGGAAGTATCTATTCAGACCTTTTGCCTATTTTTAATTGAGTTATTTTTCTTTTCATTACTGAGTTGCAAGATTTGTGCTTATATTCTAGACATGAGTCCTTTACCAATGATTTGTAGATATTTTTTCCAATCTGTGTTTTCACTTTCCTGATGGTATCCTTTGAAGCACAAAAGCTTTAAATTTTAATTATGTCAGATTTATTTTTGTTTCTTTTGGTGTCACATCTAAGAACTCATTGCATAATTCAGCATTGTTATGTTTTATACCTAGTTTCCCCCAAAAGCCTGTGCACTCATAGGTAGGGCTTTTGGGCCGTGATTGGATCATGGAAACATGGAATGCTGATTCATCAGTGGATTTGTTCACTGATGAGTTTACAGCTAAACGTGATGTGGGGAGGTGACTCCTGGTCTGAGGAGGTGGGTGTCTGACAGTGTAGCCTGGAAAGGTTTATCTCCCTCCCCCGCCTTTGATATCTCTCTCTCTCTGTCTCTGTCTCTCTCTCTTTCTCTCGATGCTTCCTGCTGCCGAGTCATGAGCTGTCTCTCCTCTGCTATGCCCCTTGCTGTGCTGCCCTGTCTTGGAGCCAGCTGACTGTGGACTGACACTTCTACAACTGCCAGCCAAAATAAATTTCTCACTCTTTAACGTGTGGGTGTTAGGTATTTTGTCCCAGCAACAAAAAAGTAACTAAGACAAACCTCGTGAAGATTTATGTTTCACTTCTCAGTATTTTACAGTTTTTGTTGCTGTGTTTGCCTTTCAGCCATTTTGAGTTATTTTGTATATTGTGTAAGGTAGGGACCCAACTTCATTCATATGACTCATTTTTCAGAAATACTATTCTTTCCACTTCTGAATTGGCTGAGAAAGAAAATCAGTTGACCATTAATGTTGCGAGGGCTATTTCTGGAGCATATGTATATATTCATTCTTCATCCTTATGCCAGTACCACACTTTCTTAATTACTGTAGCTTTATGTAAGTTTTCAACAGGAAGGTGGAGTTTTTCAACTTTTTTCAGATAGTTTTGGGTGGAATATCTCTGGGAATTTTAACTTTTGGGAAGAAACCAGCCTGTCAATTTTTGCAAAGAACTCAGCTCAAATTATGATGGGGATGGCATTAAATCTGTACACTGATTTTTGTAGCATTGTTATTTTAACTATACTATTTTTTTGATCCATGAATGTGGAGTGTCTTTCTGTTTATTTAGGTCTTCTTTCATTTCTTTCAACTAAGTATTGTAGTTTTCAGAAAGGAAGTTTTGTACTTCTGTTAAATCTAAGTATATTATTCCTTTGACACCATTTCAAATGGAAATATTTTCTTAATTTTATTTTCAGACTGCTCGTTGGTAGTATATAGGTCACTGTGATCTTAGGGGGTCCTGTCTCCTCCTTCAGTTTTCCCAGAGAAAACACCTAGACAGTCAGGGTTCAGTGGGGAGAAGGCAATAAGAAATGGGCAGTAAGGTCACATATGACCAGATCGGCCCTGTAGAAACCTACTGATAAACTCAGAGGTCATTCCTCTTATGAAGGGATGAGAATGTGGATGGCAGTAAGATAAACCAAATCAAACAACAGTTATTGCTTGGTTACTTCAGTAAAAAAAAATCAAAAGACAAACAGGAAAATACTGGCAACAAATGTAAAGGGTCACTGTGCTAGTTTTACAGATTAACAAGAAAAACTAAGATTTTTCAAAGAACAATGTGAATAAGCAGATAACTCCCAGAAGAGAAAAACACTGATAGTTAAATGTTTAATCCAGCTGGGCGGGGTGGAGGCACACACCTGCGACTCCAGTCCTCTGGGCTGCTAAATTAGAGCACATCCTGAGCAACTTAGCAACTTTGTGAGCCCCTGTCTCAAAATTTTAAAGTGGGTAGGGATGTAGTTCAATGGGAAGGCCCTGGGTTCAATCTCCATTACTATAAAAAAAAAAAAATCACCTTTGCTACTCCAAGAGCCACATTAGAACACCATTTCCACTATTAAGTTAGCAAGCAATTATTTAAAATCATAACACCCAGTGCTATGAAGGTTTGAAAAGTGCTTTAAATAATAGCATTGCGTAGATAGTGCTTTTTGTCTAACACCGTCTCACTCCCTGAATGGCTCCGCTCCCGCGAAGCGGGTGCTGTGATTCCCATTGTCCCTGAGGCAGAAACTAACACACAGAGGTCAATTAACTGTCCCAAAGCCACAGTGCTGATTTGTAGCGGAGCGCCCACACCTGCTTCGCAGCAGGCTGAAGGGAAAGTAAGTATAAAACCTCCTTGGAGATCCACATCGACTTGAAAATTCTCATTCCAATTCACCTGGTCGTTCTGCTTCGAGGAACCCATCCTCGACAACCAGAGTGGAGCCGTTTCTCCTTCCGCAGCAGGTGAGCATAGCCATTGTGAGGCTGGGCTGTGGGAACGTCACAATGTACGGCTGGGTGTGGAGCGACTATCGGGCTAGCTCAAAATGTACCGCTAAATGAGAAGATGCAAATACGTGTATGCAGTGCGCGCCGGGGTGGTGTGTGTGTGTGTGTGTGTGTGTGTGTTGAGACGGTGATTTTCAGTTTCCACACTGTATTTTTCTGCTTTCTACTTCTGTAGTCAGGACAGGCGCTGGGCGCGGTGCTGTGCCCAGGGCCGTCTCCCGGGGTGTCAGCTCTGAGCAGGCCGCGGGTGGTGGCGGGCAGGGGTCTCGGGGGCGCGGGGCTCTGTCTTTCCAGCGAGCGGAGCGAGGCAACGGGACCCCTGCGCCCCAGGAGGGCCCGGGAGGCTTGCTGGCGCCCTGGCGGCCCCAGCCTGCAGCAGAGACGAGGCCCCGCGGGGAAGTGCGGGAGGCGCGTCCTGCCGGCCCGGCCCGGGGCTCTGGCGCGGAGCTGCAGCCTCGCCTCGGCCTGGGCTCGCCGGCTCTGCCAGGGCGCGGACGGGGCCCCCGGACCTGCGCGGGGAAGACTGCAGAGCAGCGCAGCGTGGCTCCTCCGGGCCGCGGGCGGAGAGAGTCTTCCTGAAGCTCGCCCAGAGTGACCTCGAGGCCAAGCAGTCCAGGTGGGCTGGGCGGGGCGGGGGCTGCCTCCCGGAAGCCGGCAGGGTCCGGCGCTCGCCTCGGGGGAGGTGGCCGCGTGACGGCCCCCGAGCCGCGCTCACCCCCGCCCCGCGCGGACTCCAGCGCCTCCATCTCCGAGTCGTCGAGGAACCACTTCCAGCTGTTCGCCGCCGCGGTGGGCAACTTGGAATGGCTGCGGTTCTGTCTGAATCAGGTCCACGGGGAGATCCGGAGCGACCGAAAGGTAAGGCCTTGGAATGCGGACAGGGACTAAGTCCCCCACCACACACACACACACCAGCACACAAAGAGATCCCCATGCGGTGGTCACCTTTTGAAGGTCTGACTGGGGTTTCCAGAGAGGTCCTTTCTGTGTGAATAGTCCTAACTCGCCTTTCCTAGGAAGCCCATCTTGGGGCAGCGGGGCAGGGTGAGCTGATGACACCCCAGGAGTAGGAAGGGGTGTGAGCGCCCCGGGCACAGGCCTGAAGGGAAGCGCTATGGCTAGGTGGTGGTCCCTGGGACCAACGCTGCTCAGCCTTCTCCTGCCCCACTCTGAACACTGCAGGGGTTCACTGCCATCCACTTCGCAGCCCAGCAGGGCAAGCTGGAATGCATGAAGGTCTTGATAGAAGAGTACAAGGTTCCGGTGGACCTGCCCACCAACAGTAACCAGACCCCCCTCCATCTCGTCATCCACAAGGACAACAAGACCATGGCTGTCCCCTGCATTCACTACTTGCTCAAGAAGGGGGCCTCCATCAACACGTGAGTCCATCCTGGCTTTGCCACTTTCTAGGAGACAGTGGAACCTTCGGCAAGTCACCTAGCCTCTAAGCCTCAGTGCTCTGGTTTCCAAATTCATGTGGATGTCGGAATCTCCTGGGGGCTTCCAAAATACCAGTGCCTGTGTTCCATTTTTTGAAAGTTGTGATTTAATGAATCTGTAGCATGGCCTGGGCTTTGGAAGTTGCAAAAGATCCCTGGATGTTTCCAATTTGCAAACAAATTTGGGAACCACTGGCAGTGTCTCCATCTGGGATTTGGGAGGATGACAGTATCACATGGTACTACTGTGACAACTGAGGAAATGCATGGCATATAAGGGACTGTGTTCATTCAAAATATCTACTGAGCAGGTGCTAAGCGCTACTAAGCACTACTCCAGAATCGGAGGGTACGGCAGGGAACACACAAAAATATTCCCCGCCCTTGTAAAGCTAACATTCCAGTGCAGAAGTAGACAAATCATGTGAAGTGGTTCCAGAGGAAGTAAAGGTGATGGGATGGGAGCAAAGGGGCAGGAAGTGATACCTAAATTGCAACCTGGAGACTAAGGGAACCGGCCATACAAAGGGAGTTGTGTTCCAGGGCATGCAAACGGCATGTTTGGGAAAGACAGTGGCAGAGTCAGAGGATGGGGTCAAGGAAGAGGGTCTAGATCTTCGGACCTTGTGGGCCATGGCAAGGCATGGGGAGGGGCTGGTTTAAGAACAGATGAGGTTAGTGGCTTCTGAACCAACCCCACTCTCCTTCCAGCAGTTCTTACGTGTCAGCTACCTCCTACAGTCAGATTTTTCTCTGTCCATTTAGCCCAGTCCCTCCCTGTGGAAACTTGAGTTCCAGAGGGGACAACAGACAGTCGGGATCACCCAGTGGACAGGTGGCAGAGTGGGGTTGGGAGCTGGTTTGCCCACTTATCTGATGAGCAATGTTCTTGTCCTTCCCTTTTGCCCTTTTCCCTCCTGGTGGGGCCCTCCAGTCCGACCAGCAGCGGCTTCACAGCCCTGCACCTGGCAGCCCGTGAAGGCTTGCTGGGCTGCGTGAAGGCCCTGGTGCAGAGTGGTGCCAATGTCCACGCCCAAGATGCCACAGGCTGCAAGCCCATCGACTACTGCAAAATATGGAACCACCGTGCCTGTGCCCGGTGAGGGTGTGAGGACCACCTGAAGCCTGCCACCCACCCCATCTCCCAGCCCTCTCTCACCCCTTCCCCAGGGCCCTCACCCAAGGCTGGGTGTGGATAACCAGATGACAATGGATAAACCTGCTGAGGAGGACCCCTGCCCGGGATATTACTGGCAGGGCTTTGCTGGGCCTTGCTGCTGTAGGTTAAAAACTGGTCTTCTTTGCCCTGCGGCCCCCAGCTCCTCAGCAGGAGGCAGCGACCCAGCCATCACAGTCCTCTTTTCCCTCAAAGGAAGTAGTTAGCCAAAGAGGCCTGACAGTGGGGATGGGTCATCTTGCTCATCCTTACTCCAGCCGCACCACCCATGCCACCCAGGCCCACAGCGTTTGCCACTCTTCCCAGCCCCCGTGGAAGCTCAGTCTCTGACACACACCCGTCTTGGTGCCAGGTTCTTGAAGGATGCCATGTGGAAACGGGACAAGAAGGATTTTGCTTGTGAGATGAGGAAACTAAAGCGCCTCAAGGCCCAGCTGACACTCATGGAGCACAACTACTTGCTTGAGTATCAAGTAAGTGGGGGGCAGGGCCAGGCTCCAGCTGCTCGCAGGCTTGTTAGCCGGGCAGGGGCCCATGGTTGTGGGAAGGGTAGCTAGAGGACTCTAACCCAGAAAGAGCCTCCCAATCCCTATAACTCTGCTAAAATTCCTCCTTTATAAGACACTTCTTCAGGTCACAAGTATTGTCCTATGTCAAAAAGCAAACATCAAATCAACAAGTAATCACAAGGGCCAGGGATATAGCTCAGTGGGGTGGCGCCTGCCTGGCAAGGGCAAGGTCATGAATTTGATTCCTGGTACCAAAAAAAAGTTCCAAAAAAAACCCAAAAAAACAATTAATCACAAGCCTGGTGCAGTGCCCTTCTTCAAGATGAGAGTCTCTAATAAGACCTGGCCCCTTCCATCACTGGGACTGACATGGTTAAAAAGATGTAAGGTTGGGTATGGTGGTGCATGCCTATAATCCCAGCACTGTGGGAGGCTGAGGCAGAAGGACTGCAAGCTGGAGCCCAGCCTGGGCAATTCTGTGACTTAATGAGAACTTGTCTCAAACTTAACAACAAAATAAAATAAAAATGGCTGGGGATGTAGCTCAGTGTGAAGGTTCTGGATAAAATCCCCAATACTGAGGGATAAAAAAATTTGTCCTTCTTCCCAGCAGACACTCAGCACGCACTCACCTGCAGAGGAGCATGGTGCAGCCCCCACTTCTGCTGCTTAGAGTCTAGGAAGGAGGCAGGTTACATTCGCATCAGGGATCTAGGGAGGTGCAGGAAGGGATGCTTAGGAGGATTCTTTGAAGATGGGCAGCATTTGGCCGTGTGAAGAGGTAGGGAATGGCTGACCAGGCAGGGGGAATAGCTGCATGGAAAGGTACAGGAGCATACAGGAACACAATATACACAGAACAGATGGGGACCAGATGTGAGTTGGAGACTGACAAATTAGAGATGTGGCAGGGGTCCAGATCAATGAAGGACTCTGGGAGAGAGGGGATTTTAAGCAGGTGTAATTATATAGGCTGCAAAACCAGAAAGCCCAGAAAGATGCTGGGAATCCTAAGTGAATCCCAAAATGGGGAAGGTTTCAGGGCCCTGCTACTATTCCACTGCTCCAGCTCTATTTCTCTCCTTGCTTGCCTCATTGTCCGTGAGGCACACAAAGGTCCAGCTGCTACGCAGCCACACAAAGGTCCAGAGGAGGCACAGCCCATCTGTCTCCTGTGGTCCTATCTCTTCTGAGAAGCCCCTTACAGACCTCCACTCAGGGAATCTCTTGCTGGCCTCAATCATGTGTCCATCCCTGCTCCAATGTCTAGAACTAAAGGAAAGACATCTGCTGATTAACTTAGGTGTGGGGAAAGCTGACGGAATTATGATGATTGGCTTAGCCTAATCAGAGCCAGCCCTGAAGCTGGGTCAATCTCCAAAGCATCTGATTGCTTAGCAACAGTCTGAGAGTAAGACACTGAGATAAACAGGGTGGGGAAGATTCTGGAACAGGCGGAAGGTTCAATTCCATGCAGGCAAGGACAGAGCTCAGCAGTCACTGCCTCCCACCTGGGGGCCAGCTGACTGCATCTTCCCCTACATGACTAGGCCCACCACTCCCAAGAAACCTGTCCAGATTAGCTCAATTCTAGGCCTTCCAAACCCTTCTATGTTGTCGTTCCAGGGCTTCACCTCTCATTTGTCTGTCTTAAATCAGAGACTCTTACAGCAGGATATATTAGCCTGGGCATTCCTCTGGAGGGAACTTTTCTCCCCATAAGATGTGTTTTGCTTAGGGTGGAGATTGTCTTCCTGCTCAAGCTGGAGGTCCCCCTAGTTCAGAGGCTGTGTTTCCCCATCAGGGTGGAGTCTCCCCCATGGAAGAGGTCAGTCCAGGAGCTCCCTTAGGGCAACAGCTGTCTCCTCCATCAGAACAAGGGCTTCCCTAAGGTTGGTGTTCCTCTCATCAAACTTGGATGTTCCCTGTAGCGAGGACAGTGTCTTACCAGTTAGGCCTGAGGTTTCCAAGGACTGCAGGCACAAGGCCTCATTCCACACATACACGGGAGCAGCCCTCCAGCACTGTTGTGTCCTTTTTGTTGCAGAAAGAACATCAACTTCTGAGAGAGGCCAATTTCAGGCAGTGGCTCCATCACAAGCAGCTTCAACACCCGGTCTCCAACACCAAGCAACAGGCTGGTGCCCCAACTTGCCCCAGTGCCCTCTCTGAGACCCCAGGATCCCGGATTTCTAAGAGCTTCTACCGCTTGGTGGAAGCCCGACTGCAAAACATGCCTCAGCCTAAGGCGCCACCCAAGCCAATCTACAGGCGGCCTAAAATCAGTCGGCCCAAGTCGTGGAACCTTAGCAATAACCCTGCCAGATCCCGCGCGCCCACCATCAGCTGCCCACAGGACATTCGTCTGGGTGTCCATCCAGACCCCTGCCAGGAGCATGACTTCTCCAACTTCCTGGAGGTGATGCCTGACTCACATGGGGGTGCACAGCTGCGCACAGTGGATGGCCACTGGGTGGCGCCTGTACCCCGGCTCCCTTTCGAGGTGATGGTCCGCAATCTGTACCCAGGAGTGCGGCCATACAGGATAAAGGTGCCCCAGGGGCTTTATGTCAGGAGCATACTGGATGTACCCCAGAGGCGGCACATGGGCCAGGACGCCTTTTGGACAGACACTTTGGCCATGAACCTGCGTGAGACATTTGATGAAGCCTTCCTGGCAGCCATTCGAGCTCATCAAGGGCTCCCCACCTTGCCCTCCTCTCCAGCACCCCAGTAAAGGTAGTCTGGTAGTGCCTATACCTGAGCCTGCCCTGAGGCTGAACTGTGGTGATTCGTGCTGTGCAGGAAAATGGGAGGACTGCCTGAGCTTCCCACTCCCACACTCCAGGATGGGATCTCCCCATCTGCCCCCCAAAACGCAGACCCCAGGCCTCCTCCTCTCTGCAAATATCTTGGCTTCCCCAGAGACTACAACAGGGCAGAGCCCCAAGGTTCAGACTGGGTGCCATCACTATTCTAGGTCCTAACAATGCAAAAGTGACACTTTGGTTCCCCACTGCCTCCTTCCTCACTTCTACCCTAGCCCACCACGGACAAGGCTTCCGGGATGAAGGGACCTCTGGAAATTCTGTCTCTTGTTCAAATTCTTTTCCATTGTAGGCTCTAAGCATTACCCACCTCCCCCCTTTGTGGTACTGAAGATTGAACTCAGGGCCTTCACACTGAGCTATAACCCCAACCTGTTTTGTTTTGATTAGTGAAGGGGGGTTGCTTGTTTGAGACAAGGAGCTGAGTAGCTAAACTGCCCAGGCTAGACTACAACTCAGGATTCTCCTGCCTCAGCCTCCCACAGTGCTGAGATTAAGGTGTGCACCATCATCCTCACCATTCAGATGGTGAATGGTGATCCCAATTGGCTTAAGGAAAGCTATTCTGTCATCGGGCATGTGATTCCCTGATACTATGGATCACCATCCCTTACTCCCAGCTGTCACTCAAGTTTCCACCATTCAGGGAAGCACAGGTAGCACATCTGGGGAGAGGGAAGATCTGCAGTTTTGATGTGAGGCTACAAAAGCACCTGTACTTCCTCTAGGAAGTGATCTGGGGTCCCCTGCAATCTCCTCATACAAATTACAGTTCATTCATTAAACAAATGTTTATTGAGTGCTTTCCATGTGCCAGGTGCCAAACCAGCACTGTTGATACAAAAATTCAAGGACAGTCCCTGCCCTCAAAGAGCTTACAGTCTAGGGGGGAGAGAGATTATAAAGCAGGCAAGTAAGCCCAAAATGATCTGTGTATTATGCTGGGGCTAGGGAAGGACAGGGAACGTTCAGAACTCCTTGGAGGAAGTAAAATCCAAGGAGAGACTTGGCAGAGAAAGTACAAAGTGAGTGAAAGAAAGGGGAATGGAAATGGTGAGCGCAAGCCACAGTGTCTCTGCCTGCGGGAGACGAGGCCTGAGTGCAAGGGGATGAGACCAGAGGTGAGAAGGGAACAGGCCATCAGGAGACTCACATGCTAAGGGGTCTGGACTTCATCCCCAAGGCAGTAGGGAGCTATGGAAGGTTTTAGGCCAGGGAGCAATTTGATCAATTGTGCATTTGGAAAGACAACTCTGGCTGGCTACAAGATAGAGAAGCAGCAGGGGGCTATCATAACCAACCAGGAAAAACTTGACGATAATGAGGGTGGCTCAAACTCAGAGATGTCAAGAAAATGGATTTAATGGTTTTTAGAGATCAGATGTGGGGGTAAAAAGAGAAAGCAGAAACTTGAGAGCAAGCTTCCTGTCTCCTGAGTGGTGCAGGGGCCTCGGCAGGCACCCAAAAGGGGAGGCAGGTCTGCAGAGGACAGCAAAGGGTACCATGAATCTGGGCTGTCTATGGACCCGGCAGGCAGCAGAGCTGTGACCCAAAGGGTCAGGAGGGATGCTGCGACTGTGGGCGACACTCGGTTCCTCAGTGGAGTCCCTGAAGCCACCAGCACTGATAGGCCCAGGGAGCACAGTGTGCATGCAGCAAGCACAGAAACCTAAGAAAAGGAGACGGAAAGGAGCAGCCAGAGAGACAGGCAGCCAGCCACAGAAGAGCCGGGGAAGCACAACTCAAGAAGCAAAGGGGTAAGCATGTCAGCTGCTGCTGAGCTCCAGGAGGATATAGTCTGGAGAATCTGCTGGACTTCACCTATGAAGGGCCCTGGCCATCCCTGGGAGAGCCCTGACCAGCAGCAGAGTGAACAGAGGAAGTAAAGCCACCTCATCGCAGTGAAGAACAAAGTCAATGGCAAGGGAGAGTAGGCCCAGCTGCCAGTCCATTGGTGAGGACTCTGGCCTCATGTCCTCTACTTGGTCCGCATAGCAAAAAAGGGCCTGGTAATCTTACTTGCATCCAAAGACCAAATGTGCTAGTCCTCCCAGGGAAAGCTGGTACTCTGATGACAACAGAAATGCTAAAGCCAAGGAAATAAAGGGATACGATGGGATTTCAGGCATCATATAAAGATGTTCGAGCACAGCGGTCTTCCCAGTGACTACAAGGTGCCACCGGTGTACAGTGCATCCTGCACCTGCCAGCCTCACTGTGAGGTACAGGACGTGGCCAGTGAGGGCTCTCGTGGGGACTTCATTCCAATATGTACTGCTGAGCACTTGCAAGGCACTGGAGTTGGAGTGCAAGGCCAACACATGCTGGTCTGTGCCTGAGCCCTGGCCTGCCTTCTTGGAAGGCAGAGATCATCTCCCCAGGAGCCAGGAGCACACAGAAGAGTACCAGACCTTGTGTGCTCTTAAGAGTGACAAATAGCCTCTCCCACCAACCTCATTTCTTAAAAAATCTGTCTAGACCCAGGCTGCCTAGAAGCTATTTTTTTTAAGCCTGAGATAGAATTTCAGCCAGAAAGTACTCCTTTTCCTCAGAGGAAGACTTATAAATAGAATACTGTGGATGTTCTGAAAATCTAACCCAATCCTACACTGTCTCTTCTCCTCCTCCCAGCTTGACAGGCACAGAGCCTTGGGGGAAGAGACGGAAGAGGGAGGTGTATAAGAAAGGCCGCTGCTGGCCCCTGCCCTCTTGCCCACCCTGGCTCTGCTCCTCATCTCTGCCCCCTCCCTCTAAGGACGACAAGAGTCCCTTGAGAAAGGCAAGACCCAGACCTAGGAGAGGAGTCCTTGGAGCAGAAAGCTAGTCCAGTCCAGGCAGAAAGTTAGCAGGAAGATCAACTTTTGGGATATTAAGGCAAACAGTGCCACCTAGAATCTTTATTCAAATGGGAATCAGCAATGGGACAAAAATCACAGTTCAATAGCAAAAACCATTTCTCTTGGAAGTGCCAAGCTACGTCCCCTCCCTATAGTCATCTGCCCAGGGAACTTTTCACCGGCTGTTCTCCAGCTTCAGGACCCTGCCCTGCCACCCCTGGCTGAGCCTGAACCTCCCAACCCACCTCAGGAAGGGGAGAGGAGGCTGAGGAACTAGGCCACCTGTCTAAGCAGGCTTTGCCACCTCCCTGGTGGCTTCTGAGGTTACAGCCCCTGGCAATAAGATCCGAGCCAAGCTGAGCCCCCAAGGAGGGTGAGGATGGGGCTTCAGGACCAAGGGGAGGGAAGCCAGGGCTGGTGGAAGGTGTCTTCCAGGCTCCTGGCCCCTACCTAGCACAGAGGCCCAGGGGCCCGACTTCTGATCTTGCCCCCACGTTCCCTCCCCAAGGGGGTCAGTATATCTTCTGACGACTGGGTAGAATGGCCTCTTTGATGAAGGAGAAGACAACCAGGATCCCTAAGCGTTTTCCCCGCTTGCCTTTGGTGAAGTAATTGGAGACCACGTCATCTGTGGAGACACAGGCAAGGAGATGGGCATATGAGACGAGTGCATGGCGCACACAGCCCTCCCTAACCCAGAGCCCCGCATCTCATCACAGGGCTGGGCTCTGGTTCCCTCAGATGACTCAGGCCTTGCAGGTATCCCCCCACCTGGCCCATTACAAACCCCTCTCACCTCCTGGCTGCATGGTGGAGGGCAGGACATTCTCTCCAGCCGAGAGCGACACAAAGAACGCGAACGGGATTATCCACAGGCAGAAAGTGAAATAGGCCAGGACCTGGCAGCAAGACAGGCACCAAGAATGGGCTGGGCGTGGTCACCAGGGGCCTTGGAGAGGTGGCTAAGGGTACACAGACGGCCTGACCCTCCTCTCCACAAGGCCAGGGCATTCTCAGAGATAATTCAATGGGGAAAGGTGGAAGCTGACAGTGGCGGACTGTGGCCATGCTCTCCAAAGAAGTGCTCTTGTTCTTTCCCGGGGCTTCAAACTGAAGGCCTAGCATGAGCAAAACCGCTAGGAGGAGAAAACACTGGCAGGCTGCCAGGGGGAGGTGGGGCTAAGGGTTTTAGGCCACTGCTGCCCAGCAGTCTATGTCACAAAACGCCCGAGCAGTATTTCTTTGGCCTCAGGATAACCCCATTTGGGACCCAAAAAACTTACTAGGGGAAAGCAGTGTCCACCTCAGTTTAAGGGATCTCATCTGTTCCTTAGCCACCCTGCTTTAAAACATCATCCACATCATGTTTCATTTTATTCAAGATGTGATCTCTGAGTGGACTCAGTTTCAGATCATGGATGAGATTATAATGCAAACCACCTGAGGCCCCATTATTCCTCTGTCCCCAGGACTAGTTGCATGTGCTGGACACTTCTTACCTCTGAGAAAGGATAATATTCTTCTGCAAAATACTGAAATGCTAAATAATGGTTCACCACCACTAGTCCTGTCAAGGGAATGAAGAGTCAGTCAGTTTGAAGGTATGACAGAGAGCGCGACTTTTCAGTGTCAAAGGGCCTGGAGTCGGGAGCCCTCACATCTTACTCCTGACTTTGCACTCAAAAAAAGAGCATGGCTTTGGGCCGGTACACTACCGTCTAGAACTCAGTTCCCCATCTGTCAAGACGAGAGGATCAGCCCTAGCCTGCTCACTGCAGAGGGCATAGTGTATAAAATTAGAAGGCAAGAAAGAAAGCTATGGAATGTTATAAAAATGAGACTTCAGTGTTACATAACCCAAAACATCATGACCATGAACTGGTTTTTACTGAATGTGAGTCCTAAAGCAAGGTCTCCCAAGCAGAGGTGGTGGTGCTTGCAATCCCAGCACTACAGGAGGTTGAGGCAGGGGGATCACAAGTTCAAGGCCAGCCTGGGCAACTCAGTGAGCCCCTTTCTCAATCAATAAACAGAAGCTCTGCCATAAGCAGTAATGGAGAAAGTCATGGGTATATAAACCAGACCCTGTATACAAGATTCCATCCCAAACTGGGCCACAGGGAAAAAGCCTCCTCAAATAAAGGGACACACTTTGTAGACACTCTGAGGTACAGTCTAGGACTCTTCAGAATATGGAGAGGGTTCCTTCCCCATCCTGCCTGACGGCAAGGCAGCTAGTTTGAACTGCTATGTTCTGGTCCCACACATACCTCCTCAGTGTGCACCTGAGCTCATGAAAAAGCAAGCAAGCAGATCGGAGGGACAGGCTGCGCAGAGGCAGGCATCGCAGTCTGTTTCGTGATGGGGCGAAGCGCAGGCACCAGAAAGAATGTGTCCCCTGAAACTGAACCCCCTCCCTTCTCCCCTCTTCTCTCTTTTTAAGGCAAAGATGATGCCTCTGTTAGGTTTACCCACATGCTAAGGCTAAGGGATATCAGAAGGTAGGGGCCACTAGACCTCTCAGAAAAGCTCCCTCAGGCATCTAAATGGCAGGCTGAGGGAACGACAAAAGGAAGCCGGGGAGCCTGCCACCAGGGAGTGGGAGGGCTCTCCCTGGGATAACGTAGAAGGGGCCTGGCCTCTAGGGAAGTTGCTACAAAACCCCCCTTTTTCGTAGTACTAGTGATTGAACCAGGGCTTTGTGACTACTAGGAAAGTGCACTATCACTATGCTACATCTCCAGCCCTTTTTATTCTGAAACAGGAACTTGCTGAGTTGCCCATGCTGGTCCCAAATTTGTGATCCTCCTGCCTCAGCCTCCCAAACAGGTGGAGTAACAGGCATGCACCACTGTGCCCAGCCCTGCTGAAAAAATTTTACATTGAAATCACAAAGAATTCAGGAAAGATACCTAGTCCTAGTTTTAACACTATGCCTTCCTTGTGGATATTCTTTTTCTAGGTTCTCTTACAAAAATAAAAAAGTAGCCCCATAACACCCCTAATTCTATTTGATATCCTGACCCAAGACTAGGATACCTAGTAACGATTAGCAAGAAAAACAGCAAGCCTTGTGACCAAATACTTCCTGAAACCTTCTCTGTGAACATATGCAAAGATTAATAATCACCTACTATGTGCCAACTGAGTTTCCCAACAGACCTGTCAGAAACATCACCTCGGAAGAGACCGAGCACCCGAGGCCCAGACAGGGGACTCCCTCGGCAGGGAGTGGGGGCAGGGCAAAGGCCAGAAGGCTGGGGTCCTCAACCCTGAGCAGCTGCAACCACTGACAACGGGACCAGAAGAAGGAGCCCCAGAGGCATCCACGCCAGGCCCGTGTCCGCAGCAGTCTCCCAGCAGCTGAGGCTCCGGTCTTGACCATGACTGTGGGCCCCAAAGGCTGGACGAAAGCTGTCCACTGCCAAGGAAGAGCTTCGGGCTTTTTGGCCCAGGTGGTTTCTTTCAGGCTGGCATTACTCAGTCAGGCCTCTGCCTCCACCAACCCATAACCTATTTTCTCTTCCCAAATCCTCCTGCAAACTTCCCTGTTTGGGAAAGTCCTCCCAACCTGAATTCCCCACCCCTCAAAAATTCTAGAAGCTGTGGCCAAGGCAAGCTTTAGGGTCCTCACGAGTGAGAAGCCTGTATTCCAAACCTCCGGGAGAACCTCAGTGGCCTGTCTTCTTCTCTGCATCCCCTTCGGTGCCCAGGACTGAGCCAAGTACGTGTGCCCACAGGAGCTGCCCCGTCCCCACTCTGCCCCCTCTCACCACACGACAGGATGAAGTTAGGCGAGGTCAGCATGATGAAGGGGAAGGTCTGCAGGAGGCCGAAGTAGACGAGGTTGGTGAAGAGGCCCACGCCAATCATGCTGGTAGGAAAGCGCTCAAAGACGTAGAGGCCGATCAGCACGGCCGTGGAGAACTGAAACAACCACACAGTGCAGAGGGCCCTTCCAGGCCGTGGCCCAGACTTTCCAAACCCACCCTGCTCTGGGCAGCCCCAGGTTCATGCTTCAATCTCATTTCACAGTGTCCGGCTTGGGTCTCCCGGCTAGATTCTCAGCTCCCTAAGAACAGCCTCTTTAAATGCCATTTCTTAAAATATTTTGACAGCAGCCCATAGTAAGAAAAATACTTTACAGGCCCAACCCAAGAGACACATGCAGCTGGCAGAAATCTGTGTACCAGCAGTCACTCCTTGACTGGAGTCTTGGGTCCTTCAAGACTCAATGGCAACGACAAATCTTTTATATACTTATTTATTTTTTTGTCTTTGTGAGACAGGGTCTCGCTATGCAGTTCAGGCTGGCCTTGAGCTCACTTTGTAGCCCAGGCTGGTCTTGAACTTGCAACAATCCTCCTGCCTCAGCCTCCCAAGTGAGCTGGGATTACAAGCGTGGGCCACCACGCCCAACCATAAATCTTTAGGAATAGAAGCCTCCCCTGAGGTGGGGGGGGTGGGCAGGGCCACAGCCAAGGGAGGTGCTCCCTTTAGGGGAAATTAACTAAATCCAAATAGAAAGAGGGCAGTGAAGAAGCATTCAAAACTGTCCATAGGTTCCACTAAATTCTAAATGCTGGGAGCAGGGCAAGGGGCCAGAGCCAGCAGGAAACAACCAAGCAAAGGCAAAGTCAGGGGCCTGTCAACAAGAACGTACACTAGGCTGTTACCTCAAGCAACGGAGAACAAGCTTTGTAGGGAAGCAGTGCCATTTGGAAAAGGAGGCCTGGAAAGATCTGGGCCCAGGAATGCAGACCCAAAAGGCTGAGCACAGGGCAGGGAGGTAGACATGGTCCCGAGGCAACAGCAGAGACAGGGCTCTCACCATCCAGGCCAAACTCTCCCCACCTTGTTTTCAGACAGAGCGAAAGAGCGAGGGGACTCCTGGGAAAAGGTGCCACTTACCCAGATCATGTATTTTATGATTCTGCTGGTGGCCATTGTGTACTCCTCTATCAGTTCTGCCAGGTAGTAGAGTCCAGCGGCTGGGAGGATGTCAAAAAAGCAAGGGTGGAGGGATTATCAGATGAGCTCGCTCCTACCATCCTGATCATTCCCAACAACCCATGTGTTGCCCTTGTCTGTCTGAAAAGAGGAACTTTATCAGGGCAAAATGAATGGAAGTCTGGACTTGACTCCTCAGCACAATGCTCACCTCTGGGCCAGAAAGTATATTTCACTTACTTATTCAGTGAATACCTGCCGGGCACTTAGTACGGGCCAGGTGCTGGGTGGAGTGGTGAGAACACAGAACAAGATAGACAAGGTCCTGCCCCCAACCCAGCTTGCGAGGCGGATGGGAAGCGGGGAGCCAGGCAAGCCCCCGTAGAAGCAGCTACTTTAGGACAAGTACAGGGCACTGCCGCACCATCATCAAACCTCTAGGTAGGGCTTCCGGAAGGACGCGAGAGCTCTATTAAGATCGAGCAGGCACCAGCCTGAAGTAGGGCAAGTGTCAAAGGTGGAGAGCGGCAAGCACAAAGGGCCAGAGGGGACGGCAGCGGGTGTCGGGGAAAGTTCGGCGCGGGGCGGTGGGCCCGCGAATGAGGGAGCGGTTGGCAGTTCGCGGGGGGGGGGGGTCAGGGCACTTAAGTCACCCTTTCCCGGGCACAGCTGGGCGGACTTTGTGACATCTGGCACAACCCGCGGACAGGCTAGGCTGCTGGGCTCAACAGCAAGGGCAGGTCACGGGCGGCAGGCCAGGAGGTGAAGCCAGGGGCGCCGCGCAGGGACCACCCCCCTCGACTCTCTCGGACACCCCGCGATGCGACCCCGGGCAAGCACAGACGCCGGGGCGGAAGCCCGCGCGGGCCAGGGTCTCGCACTCTCACCGACGGCCAGCGTGATGAAGCCCACTTGGATGAAGAGCGACAGCCAGCTCAGCACGTACATGAACCACATGGCGCCCCTACCCTGCCCGCCCCCGGCCGCCGGGACGGGCCTGCGCTCTTCGGCTCCGGCGACACGGAGTCGCCACCGCCACCGCCGCTGCCGCCGCCGCGTACCGCCCCACGGACGGACGGGTGCGCGGCGCCGCCGAGAGGAGCCCGGGCCGAGTGCCGCTCCTTGCCGCGTGTGCACTAGCGCCACCTGCCGGCGCGGAGGTCCCGGAGGTTCCACGGAAGAGTCAGCGGGCAACTGCAGCCCGCAGAATAGGGGACAGTAACTGGAGACGAAAGCCAGGCATCCCTACAGTGGCTCGGAGTATAGGTTTACATTGGGCTTTCTCTTGCTGTCGCAGGTGACAGGGACAAAGTTATTGAACGCCTATCATATGTCATGAGCTGTGCTAAGGGCCAGGCTCTGTGGCCAGGCTCTGTTTATGGCAGAAATTGATCAGATGATGATGATTTTCTGAATCGGAAGCTGGGGCCAAGGGATGTCACACATCTGAAAAGCCTTTAACTGGTCACCTTCAGACCTAACTTTCCCTCTAGGCTGAGTTCTTCTTAGGGTACCTTCTTCGCCCTTATAACGCCTGCACCCTGCCCTTTGCGGTTTTGGCAGGGCGCCCGCTAGGCGGTGACTGCGCTTACTACTCTGCGGAGCGAGTTAGCAGCACACGAAAGGTGCAGCCCTTGTTAGGAAGTCCTCCGTCTAGTGGCCAGGACAAGAATTTTTTTAAAGGGCAAGTGGTGGTATTTTGGTATGCTTATCTCTGAATCATATTTTTGATGCATAAAAATAAATACCTATTATTTTAAAAGATCATAGGATTGTCATATGATCCAGCAATTCCCTTCTAGGTGTACACGTGTAAGCAACAGCATTTGCAAAACCACGTCCGTGGGCTGGGGATCTAGCTCAGCGGCACAGCGCCTGCCTGGCAAGCGCAACGTTCTGAGTTCGATTCCCAGTACCGGAAAACAAACAAACAAACAAACAAACAAAATGTCCATAGCAGCATTATTCAGAGGGACAAAAAGGTGGAAACAACACAGATGTCTATGGATGGATGACAGGATAAACAATGTAGCATATACACACAACAAAATATTATTTAGCCTTAAGCATAAATTAAATTCTGACACATGCTACAACGTGGATGAACCTTGAAAATATTAAGTGAAAAAGCCAATTACTTGAAGGATGAAAGTTGAAGAAATGATGCTAAATAAATAAGCCAAATTCTATATGGATCCATTCATATGAAGTATCTGAAGTCATTAAAATTATAAAGACAAGGAGTAGGATGATGGTTGCCCAGGGATGGATGCAGTGATTAATGAGACGTTCTTACTTAGCAGGTATGGAGTTTCAATTTGGTAAGATAACGAAGTTCTGGAGATGAATGGTGATGAGGGTGCAGAACACTGTGAATGCACTTGATGCTACTGAACTGTACACTTAAAATGGTTAAAACAGTAAGTTTTGTATTATGTATAGTTTACCACAATAAAAATGCATATAGTTACAAAGCAAAGCATTTACATTGAAATACAAATATAAAAGTTTTTAGAAAAACAAATGTGTGCTACTACAATGTGTGCTTCTTTATTAACACATAACATAATCAAATCTAACAGAAAACCTGATAATTTCCACAGTGACAAGGAAGGGATGAGTGTAAAATGATATTTCAAGATATCTTCAAGCATATAATTAAGAAAGTTGCAGATACTGCTAACTACTGTGAATTTGCTGCCTCTATTTATAATAGAAGGAAATGTTAAATTCCAGTTAGAGGTTAGTGCATATAAAGATGGAAACTTTTCCTTTGCCAAGTTTCCAGGTTCCTTAAATCTGTCTCCTGAATTCTGCATTTTCTGACTTCTAAGACATCTTTACAGCCCCTGTCAATAATTCCTGAGGGATATGTATAAGGGCAGTGGACCCTTAAAAGATCTTTTATTTATTTATAAAGCTCTTTATTGCAGCTCTGTGAGAGACTGAATGCAACCTAAATATTCATTAGTAGGAAACTGGTTAAGTATATTTTGGTATATGATACATAAAAGTCACAAAATACATAAGGATGTCCTATATATACACATATAGGACTTCTTTTGAGAAAGCAAAAGGATTGGAGGAAAGAATCCAAATATATTTCTTTATATAAAACATCTCCAGAAGGATATATTAGAAAATAGTAGAGCTGGAGGTCTAATGTTGTCTGGTAGACTGTTTGCCTAGCACACATGAGGACCTGGGTTTGATCCCCTGCATCAAAAAACCCAGATATGGTACCATAGCTTGTTTCCTTGGAAGAGAAGGGCCAAGGTTTAAAAAATAGGACAGTACATTCTCCCTTTTGGCATTTTGATATTCTTACTATACTGAACTATGAAAATATATTACCTACTCATGAAGTTTAAAATTAAGACGTAAGTAGTATGTAGGATTTGCTGAGATGCCTCAAATGTCCTGCCACTATAGTCACTTTGTGAGAAAAACCACTGTGTGATGCCTCAAAGGTAAGAGGGCTAACCTTGGATCATGTGACTTGGTTATCCCTGATTAGACCTTTGGGGAACTTCATGCTCAGAACTTTCAGTTAGGTGGTTTGTATTTGAGGCACAGAAGCATTGGTGAATAAAGAATAGTAAACTCTTTTTTTTCCTTCAGTACTGAGGAGTCACCCCAGGGCCTTATGTTTCAATCCTCAGCAATCCCCACACTTTTTTTCTGAGATAGGTTCTTGCTATGTAGTGCAGGTTGGCCTTGAAGTTGCTTATGTAGCTCAGGCTAGCCTCAAACTCATGGTGATTCTTATGGTGATTCTCCTACCCCAGCCTCCCGAGCGCTGGGATCAGAGGCATGAGCCACCACACCCAGTTCAGTAAACTCTTAATTAGTCTCCTTTCTTAAATATTTTTCCAAAGAAGGAGGAGACCTTCATAAGAGGAAGGACACATAAAAGTACCCCAAGCAGACCTAGAGGTAAGGAAACTTGAGGTACCAAAAGGCCAGGTGCATTCACCATAGACCAAGCCAGCAGCACTGCATTCCAGGGCTGGCCCTTTTCACTTCCCCACAGCTTCAGAGCCAAAACTGGCCTTGGGAAGGCAAGCTGAGGATGGGAATTTCTGCTAAGAGCAAGAAGAGAGAAGCTGCCATTTCCTGAGAGCCATGAGGAGCAGGCAGTGAGAAGGGAAAACCACTGCCCCATCTGATTGCCACAGCTCAGCAGGACAGGACAGGACAGGACTCGGGATGCTCCTGCGACTATGCCTGGGAGGGTATCAGGGTAGGGAGGGCGAGCCAGTCCTCAGTTGGAGGAAGGCTGGAAGGGAGCAGAAATACTCATATTTACTTTGAGGAACTCATTTCACAAGTGAATAGATTTGTAGATTCAAAGGTGACTGGCTGGCCAGATTGTAGATTGGACTACAGACCGACCCTTGTACCTATATGTATTCATTCCAGTGTTACTCAAACTCCTTTAACTTATACTAACACAGATATTCATAAGTCATTTTGTGGTACTGGGGACCTAACCCAGAGTGCTCTAGCACTGAGCTGCGTCTCCAACCCTTTATATATATATAGATAGATAGATAGATAGATAGAGAGAGAGAGAGAGAGAGAGAGAGAGAGGGAATTTTTTTTTAAACTTTGAGAGAGGGTCTCAGTTGTCCAGGCTGAGCTTGAACTTGTGATCCTTCTCCCTCAGGCTTCCCAAGTAGCTGGGATTACAGGTGTTTGTCACCATACTGCACTCCATACTTGTGACCATTCAGTGCCTGCATGTGTGGGGACCAATTCCTGTACTGTATAGCTTACAAGGGGAATTTGAGGTAAGCTAAACATTTCAACATCTTATGGATCTTTTCCTCAGGAATAGATGACCAAGTTCCTTCTCGGCCTTTTGGCTAAAATCAAGGGCAGAATACAGTAAATTCAGGTAATGATAGTGTTCTTACTCTGTGCCAGACACTGTTCTAAGTGATTTGGATGAATTAAGCTATTTAACGCTCACATCTAGTATAGAAGATAAGAACTATTATTTTCTCCACCTCACAGATAAGAAACCAAAGTACAGAGAGGCTCCGTACCTTGTCTAAAACCACACTGCTAGTCCTTGGGCAACCTGGCTCCAGAAACCACGGGATTTTCCCTTCAAGTCATCTGCCTTTGCAGTCAGGGTGATTCTGTCCGCCTGCTCATCATGTGCCTTTCGGCCTGTAGGCCGAGCCTTGCCTTATCTCCATGCAGCTCCCTGGTCCCCTGGGCTTTTCCTCCTCTCTCTCTCTCTCTTTCCCTCCATCCTTGTAGTGAATAAAGAGTACCTCTCAGGGTTCTAGCTCCCCTGGCCTGGTCGTGTTGGCTGCTGCCCCCTAGTGGCAGCCAAGGGAGCTGGAAAGGACTCGAGCCTGGGGTGAGTTCTTCGTCTCCCTTAAAGGAATTTGGGGACCTTACCACCCGTCTTAAGAGTGAAGGCCAGGTCTGGAGGCCCTGAGAGCACACACATCCAACACCCACATCACACCCATTACGCACGTGGACTACACACCGTTGCAGACAGGGGCCATCTCAGCATCTAAGCCTCTGCTATCCTTGGCCGGCCGGGCTGCAGCCTATGGCTAGTGCCCAAGAGACACCATGGAGTCAGACAGGCCTGGAGGCCCAGTCTCTCCCTCCGCCTAGGCCCTGCTTCCTTCTGCACTTCCTGTCTAAGCCTGGTCTCCTATCCCTCCCAGCGCCCCAGGCCTCACAGAAGCATGGTATGGGATAGGAAGATTTGAGGAAATATGTTCCCACTCACCCCATTCCACCCTTAACACATACCATGTCACCACCAGATGTCCCTTTCTGAGGTCCCCACATGCTGAGAGAAGGGGCTTTCGCCTGTGATGGTCCATGTAGTCAGTGGGTTTGCTGTTTGGTATTCTGCAGCAGGGTAACCAGAGCAAGCTTCTAGTAAGAGATGAAGCACAAACCAAGAAAAACACTGACTGCTGCATATAATCTGTCTGAGTCAGCAAGGCTCCGCGAGTCTTTCTGCAATATGCCTCTGCCCCCACCCAAGCAGTTGCGCCATGTTCTTGGCACCCCTCCCCCACCCATCACATGCTGGGGGCCCCAACTCAGGTGACTGAGTTCAAGGTCTT